CTGCTCTGTTCCACTATTTACTGTCATCGTATGTTGCTGTACCAATAACATCAGTAACATAAATCTGTTAAGGATACGTAATGGTAACTGTTCTTTGTTCTGCCAGGAAAAAAAAAGAATCCCCAACAAAACTGCAAAGCTATACTTCAGTACAGCTTGTAATCGTGTAGATGTGGCAGTAGATGTTACAACAATAGTGCATTTGTCTATATATAGCTCAAAGCATTGGCAAATGAACTGCTTAGCAAGGATGGAACTGTGTCTTTGGAAGGTATAGGCCTTCTTGTTGTCCAGGACAGCGGGTCCTTCTACAACTTTTTTCTCACCTTGCATTCAGTAGAACTGGGTCTGATATCATTTGGCATAGTGTAAATCAGAGGAGATCCAGAAAAGTTAATGCAATTTCTGCAGCAGTGTAAGGTTCTGACTGGGCTCTTTGACCAGGAGAGAGTCACTTCCTTTTGGATTTGTTGATTCACAGTTCTTTGCAGTTTGGTGTTTGGGTACACTTGATTTTAGTGTCTCTTTTTTCTTTCCCCCACGTTACATATTACTTGCCTTTTTCTGTTACTTGTCCTCTTCAGCGTTCTTCTTTTCTCTTTCACAATAGCATGCTTTAAATCAAAGTGGACTGGGTGGTTTTTTGCAAGACTATTTTTTTAAACACCAGATTACTGTAGTGAAATTCAAGTAAGTTACTTCAATAGGGACTTCACTGAGTGGAACATAAATCCAACAATGTATAAATACAAGCAAACAGTTTTAAATGATCTATTTATCTTTTTTGGCCTAAAACTCTCTGAAGCTATAAAAAAAGGATGTGGGAAAACATCTTGCCAAAAGTGATTTTTGTTTTTTTTTGTCTTTCCATTACTTGTTTTTTCTTTATTTTTTCAGAGAATTACTTTAGTAATTCGTAAATACCAGCTAAAGCAAATCAGATTTAGAAAGGAAACACAATACAAAACCTTGGGAGACATGTTTGCTCAGCTGAAAAGTAGTGAATAATAGCAGTGTAATTAAGGTGAAAGGAGTCTTGCAAGCAAAAAAGAAAAAAAAAAAAAAGACCTTCTCAGAGCTATTTTAAGATCTTAGGTCATGAGTTAGGTCATGAGCTTCTTAGCATTTGGTGTGGTATCTGAGTAGACCCTTGGATTATAGATCAGGGCAGGTGCAGAAGACTGTACTATAAATACTTTTACCCTTAAGGAGTTCACAAATTTCTTGAATGACAAACCGGACAGAAACATATTAGTTCTGAAGAAGAAAACTATAAAAATCATTTTAGAAGAATTTAAAGTTTTATTTTCCAACAAGTCATCCCATAGTTCTTAATTATAAAGGCTAAAATGCTCTTCACCATTATCTTAGAAATGTTTCAGAAAACCTTTTACAGAGTTACAGCATGTATGAAGCATGACTGGCATGTTCAAGGGTATTTCTGTACTTATTTGCTGCCTACTGAGCTGTGCAGAGAACTGACTGTCAGGATTCCTACCTTCTATTTTAGGGCCTTCTCTTGCTTTATGGCTGGAGCGTATATGACCAGTTCCCTCCGGGCAAGTTTTGCCAGTTATATGTTTCTCTTAGAAATATTGTCCCTCAGCTCCCTTAGTGCAAAGCTGTCAAGAGATCCTTACAGGATAAAATACACTAACTGTAGTGGTAACTTGCCTAATTTCATCAGTATCTATTGTTTTATTTGTTTTCCAAGTGAATACGGATGTTTTCAATTTCCTGGTTTTTGATGATATGCCACCCTCATGTTGCTGCTCCCTTTGTCCAAAATGAACCTTCCAGTTTTACAAGGGCTGCAGAGGTCTCGGAGACCTTTGAGAAATTAGTTTGTATTTTATTTTTATTTGCCTCCCTATGAGGGAACACTTTACTTTTCAAATTACACATACAGGCCTATGAGTTCACTCTGACTGACCTAATTTGAATCCTTAATCATCTTTTAAGAGGCATGTTTTCATAGAACTGGCAGAACCAGTTGTAGTATAAAGTTAGGTGTCATTTCCTGCATATTCCTTTAAAAAAAAAAAAAAAAAAGAGAGAAGAAGAAGAAGAAAAAAGAAAAGGAAAAACAACTCCAAGGGAATGTTTGAAGTTTTTCCAGATGAATACATCCACCTACCCTTTTGTCTGTTACCAGAATCAACAGTGTGAACTCCCTTTGATCAGCCCAATACATGCACAAAAAAGCAAGTCCTTCTCAAGGCAAATTTCTGTCTATGTCAAGGGATACATGACATGACAGAAACATCATGATATAAACAGGTTCCAGCCTTGCTCTGGGAAACTATACCATATTGTCAGTAAGCCTGAAGTACAACTCATAGGAGGAGCAGTGAATTTCAAAACCAGTATATCCTTCTCTGTTTTTTTGTGTTGGCTGTCTTGATTTTCTAAAGAGCCTGATTAAACTAACAGAATTCAAAACGACTGCAGTAGGTACTCCCCAGAAGCAAGTAAAACTGCTGCTAGGGAGTTCCTGCACCACTTGTCAATGAGAGAGATGAGATAGCCGCTGTGGTGAAAACAAAAAAAAAAAAGATAACAGTTACAGAATTGGTATTATGTCAGAAAAGCAAAGTTTGTGCTGCCTTCTTTTTTCAGTATGCAAAAATAATTTGGATACAGTCTTTCTTCACATATCAATTAAAGAGGGAGGGACTACACAAGCTATTTGATTTCCAAGCCTATCTTTCTTAGCCAGCTGGAACAGAAATTTCCAAGCAATTGAAATCATTAATGAAAGGTATAGCAAGCATGTTCACATGTCTTTACTTTTCATGTTCTCTCTACGAGGAAAAAAAAAATTTAATCACCATCAGCCAGTTCAGCCCCATGGATACAGGGTCATCTTGATATAAACAAAGCTTATTAATTGGACATTTTCATGTAAGTGGAACCTCAAGATTTCGTTTTTCTGTGGAGGTGATAGCATCCTCCAGGTATTTTTTTAAAAAAGCTTTGAGTTCCTTTCCTTCTCCCCATATCTCATACTTTCTCACGTATCCCAGAGGCTCCCATGTCATGGCTAACATTCTTTTAGAAAAATGGAGCTGCACAGGAATTCTTTAAGAGCCTATCAGCACCACTCCCAAATTAGCCAGACAGGATACTGTTTGTTTAATTTCGCAAGACATTTGCTTTCCCCAAAGCCAGAAGAGCTGCCTCAGTGAATTCCCAGCCATGATACTCTACACTTTTTAAGGATTTTTTTGTGGCGGAGGAGTAAGTGCTCCTAAACTAGGAACAAAACAGACCGATACATTTCATAATGCAGTCAGGTTGTTATATGTAACTAGATGTCTTTTAAATATTCACTGTACTTACTTCAGAAAGGCCCTAATCTGCTCTAATTTGCTATATTGTAAAAGCAAGGTAAGTGCAAAGAGAAAAACACTTGAGAGTTGGCTGTGACTAAATCTGCAGACTTTTTCAATACTCAGTTGTCTGGTGTTTTTAAACATTCTGTGACAGTGCAATGCTGTTTATATTTTGATGGGTTTAAATAGTATCTTTTTGGAACTGATAGGGATGAATGAACAATATTGTATAGAAAAGAGAAAATCTTACCCTCTAGAAACATTTTACTTCATAATTTTTACTATTATTACTATTATTTTACTATTATAGGAGTTTGGTTATTAAACCAATGCAGGGATAAGCAAATGCAGTGTGAAATCATCTTTTCTCTAAGTAGGCATACAGAAAGCTTCTACTTTGCCAGTGGTCTTGTGTGCTCTTTAGTAGCAATGCCCATGAATCCCTGCACCTAGTTGCAAGCCTCTCTGAACTTTGTATAGTTCATAGCTCAATTCAGAGTATGGCCTTTCTCAGGAGTAGGGGAAGATAATTCTTGGTCTGAACCCTGATCAGGGGCTTCGCTATCTCGTAGAGCTGAAGCCTTATGGTGCAGCTTGTTTAAGCCCTCCAGGAGCTGGCCTCCAAGGCCTACTTTGCAAATCCAGCCTGTATTGCCCTGGCCAGTACAGTGGCTGGAAGCCATACAACATTCCCTCCTGCTGTAAAGTAACATCAGTTCAGCTGATGCAGTGACAGCACCAGGGAGGAATTTTCTGCTGCAAGTACTGAGTGCAGACAAAGAGGCTGCTTAATTTTCTCTTTGTGCAACCCAAATCCTGTGGGGCTCATGCACGTCTGTGTACTTTCTGCACTGACAAGGGAGCGTGCGTTGTGGGGATGGAGCGTGTTGTGTCTTGCTCACTGTGCTGATGAGACTGTGAGAGACCCGCCAGAAGTGAAAATAGGTCTCGACTTAATTATATGTTTTGTTAATTGTCTCTCTGCTGCCTGTTTCTCGCTGGTGTTGCAGGCGGAGAGTGCAGGCCGCCTCTCCAGCAAGTCTCTCTGTCCCAGCTTCTCCTGGGCTCCATTCCTCGCCGCTCCGGCTACCCCCAGGAGGGAAGCCGACCCCCACTCTCCCAGTTGAGGGGCGTTGTAACTCTCCTCTGCCTTTTCAGTTCAGTGTTTGCACCCCTTGCATGTGCAGCAACGAGGCACGTCTCCCTGCAGAGCCCGAAGTCCCAGCGAGGTACCGCAGAGGAGGGCGGTAGACGTGGGAAGCGTTGGCAGCCGGCGGTAGCTCTGCTCTGCCCCGACACCGCCTGGGGAGGAGGGGAGAGCCCTCCGCTGCCCCCCATGGTCACCTGCCCCGGGGGTCTGGGTCGCACCTCAGCCCCTTCCCCCTCGGTGTGGGTCCCGGCGGAAGACGTGCCCTGTCCTGTCCTGTCCGCAGCCCTGCCTGCCCGCCCGGCCGAAGTCTGGTCTGGTCTGGTCTGGTCTTCGTGCTCGGCGCTGTAAGGGCCGGCCCAGCACCCCGCCGCCCGCACTTGCTGCAGCCCGACTGTACGGCAGAGATGCCGCCGCCGCCCCCTCTTCCTCCCCCTCCCCTGCTTCTGGCTGCCGGGGGGAAGGTCTTAAAACGCATTCATTCCGTACGTGCATGCAGTTAACCCCTTCCTGCCCCTCCAGCTGCCCCCCCCGCAGCCCCGCGTGTTCCGCGGCCGCCTAGCGCGGCCGGCTCCGCCACCCTCCTGCTTTAAAACAGATTGATTTCCACGGGTGGGGACGGCGCCGGCACGGGGCTGGTGCCACCCAGACGCCCTGCCCGCCCCGAGCAGCCTGCGCGGCCCTCTCCTCCGCTCCCCGGGCTCCGGCTTGCTGCCCTTTTTTTTTTTTTCCTTCTTCTTCCCAGGAGTAGCAGCGAAACGTCCCGTCCTGCCTATTTGGAAATGGGAACAAATTGCTCCCCCGCCTTACCTCGCCCATCGCATCCCATATATAGTCATATCTACGGTCAAATGGCAGGCAGCAGCGAATGGGAGCGCTGAGCCTCCGAAAAAAGCCGGGGGGGAGTGAGAGAGGGAAAGGGGTAGGGACGAACGGAGGAGGGAGGGAAAAAAAAAAGCCCTTTCCAAAAAAGTATTGGATGTCTTGAGGAATGCAGTCAGCCCCCTGGGAACGTACATATCTGTGAGGCGCTCCCTGCCCGCCGCTTGCACTCCGCCGGCGCCCCGTCCCGCACGGATCAGCCCCGCCGCCCCGCAGCTCCCCGCCGCTCCGCGCCGCTCCCTCGGGGGCCGCGGCTGCTCTCGGGCTCCGGGGTGTCCCCCCGCTTTTCC